CATCTTCTAATATTGCTTGAAATAGAAATAAACTGAAATAGAAACATATTCTCTGTATTTGTATAATAAATATTAGACTTAGGATTACATTTTCCTTTTAGACATTTTCATTTAGCACACAAAATATTTCAACACTCAGAACTCGCTGGAGCACAAATCACAATACTACAAAGCTGAATAAAAGCTCCTACCAATATCTAACTTGCTTTTTTATGTTATGATAATAAAAAAAACCTCTGATGCAACACAAAAACTGCTCTGTTGCATTCACTTTATGAATCACACCAAAGTATCATAATGAGTGGTCATAAAATTTTATTACAACAATAAATCAAATTTTATTGATATGACATGATTAGAAAACCATTTATGAATAATATCACATAGCAGTAAATAAAAGATTGCAATATTGTAATTCGCAATGCTTTTTCAACTAACTCTTGACATAGGTGGCTGACATTTTAGATTTTTTTAAAACTTTTTAAAATTTTTTTTTTACGAATATCAATTAAATATTGAAACTACACCCTAGAACATATCTATTTTTACCCTTAAATTAAAAAATTATACAATGATGTATACAAAAATATGTATTAAAAAATATTATTAAATAATAATTTGTTTTCAAGGCTTTGACCATTAATAATTAATAAAGGGGAAAGATATAAGCTAACAGAGAATAACGATCAGGTTCCTCGCACTGACTGCTAATAAGATAAAGTTCTGACGACCTTCTAACTAAAAGTAGTTATACATATGCCGAAAGTGTTGCCGAAAGGGTGCCGATAATGTTTGTTCGATGACTTTCTTTTGTATATTTTGGACTTATTACATATGCCATCTAATAATTTTTTGTGAATCATTAAGTGGTCAAAACAAAAATTTTACCATAATTTGCTTTCTTCACTACATAGTGCACAAACTTGAGTGATTCGACCTAGTGAAAATGATATTTCCTATTCGTGCACACTTTTACCTAGAATGTGATAAGGACAGGAGTCTTGTGACTTCCAAATCGTATAGGGAAATACCGGACGACTGGAGAAATGTATTAATGAATAGTCATAGTAAAATGTCACTGTTCAAGGTAATAAACTGTGCCGATAAAGTAAACTTTCACACATAGACTGAATGTTTGTTCCATCTTTGAGAAAGACCACTATTTTGGCCTATATCTTACAACCATAGTAGTTCCCTCCAAAAATCAGGCACTTAAGAGAAAATTTGAACCTGCTCCATTAAAGAAGATGTATAATGAACCTCAGCATTGATCTTTTTTTTTTCAGATCAATGTTGAGTATATCGCTTCGTGACCGAGTTAGAAATGAAGACTTAAGATGAAGAACAGGAGTTACTGATGTAATTTACCAAATGGCCACACTGAAATGGAACTGGACCAGACACGTCGCCCGAAACAGTGATGAAAGGTGGATGAAGAGATTGCTTGAGTGGAGGCAGAGGTTAGACAAAAGAAGTAGAGGAAGACCCCCTACATGATGGACTGACGATCTCAAGAACATGTCAAGAAATTGGATGAAAAGTGCTCAAGACAGTGAACAATGGACAAAAATGAGGGAGGCCTATGTCCAGCAGTGGACGCAAAGAACTGGGTGATGATAATGAACACCTGCCTATTAAGATTGCCAAGTTGCATGATTTATTGCACCTAACTCAATTCTTGACAAACCCTGAAGCGCATTTCTTTTACCAAGGCAAGCAATTTCTTTTTTTACTAGTCGGTACAAATAGAGGTAGTGATGTGGAATTTGTCGACCATCCACCAATCGACATTTACCACGTAAAATAGATCAGAGTCCAGCTCCTTAATTAAAAATTTAAAGATCTCAAGCACATAATATAATTAGCAAACTATTTTTTTCTTTTGATTTGTGTATTAAAAAGTCTTATAGTAATAAACTGATATAATAATTAATATTAAACGATAAATAAACGATTTTAAACTTTACAATTTGATTTTAACAAAATGAACAAAATGTAACTTTGATCCTCCTGTAATAATGGCTTCTTTAAAATAAAATCACCCTTAATAATTTTCACTTGTCTCTGGTCTACAATTTTTTCCCACTCTTCTACAGAAAATATTTCAAAGATTACATCGGGCAATTTTTAAATAGAATTAAAAGTGAAATTTAGATTTCGTGTTCCAACATAATTTTTTAGTGCTGCCCAAACAAATTCTGTCAGGTTTAAATCTGTATAATACTGTAGTAGTCATAATATATCATGTCAGTTAATTCTGATAATGGAGTCCATAGCAAATCTTATATATTTCGGTTTATATAATTTTATAATGGTATATAGGTCTGATCTGAGATGTTAGTTGGAAAAAGAATATTTCTAGCTTCTAGAAATTCATATCATCATGGTAATTACCCGATTTTGTTTGGGACTTCCATCTTAGATAAGATCCATTGAAAAACCTGATTTGTTCCCTACACCCAAAATGATCAAATGCTGGCCTTTGGAAACAGGTTTTTTAAGCCCACTCTTTACACAGTAAACACAATAAATCTTTTTTCATTTCTAAATTGGTTAATCTTAAATACTGTAATTGTAGGTGTCTTATATCATGTTTTTACATTAAAAGTTTTCTATAACAGTATAACCCTGATTATTTGTGTGTGGGTTATCAGAGCTTTGAGGTATAACTGTAATACTATCACTATAAATCACTTGATGGAAATTCCCAATATGCCCTGAGGGAGATGCATAATGCAATATCGCTTAGTTTATCATCTCCTGCTGTGTTTTAAACCGAATCTGTGAAATTTAGTTGTGCGCTAGAGAAAAGACTATGTTCTGCTAACTTCCTAACACATGTCCTTATTTTAAAAATTACAACCATTTTAAACAGAAGTGGACAAGGGTGAAAGTGTTGCATTATCTCTAATCTACAAAGTTGTCAAGCAAACAATACACAATATCAATAAAAACAAAGTGAAACTACAAAATTTTATATCTCAGTTCGACTCTTTTAAAAACATATCTGCACAGAAATCATTGCACTTTCAGCACTTTCTAAGTGATTTCTGCAGAAAAAATTGGGGGGCGAACAATGTGTGCTAATAAAGCAGAGATTTTTCACAAACACTTGAAAATCAAAGAACTTTTCAATGTACCTAGTTGGTGGTTACTTTGATTAAAAAAAGTCGTCAGATTCGTGAGCTTACCATTCAAGGTGAAAAGCTCAGTACCGATGGAGAAATAATGGAGGAATTTCGCTACAAGCTGGAGACCTTAATTACAGAAAATAATCTGCAGCTTTCCCAAATTTATAACACTGGCGAAACAGGGTTATATTATCAAGAAATACAAGTAATGAAAAGAGTGCATGGGGTATAAAAAAAAGTAAAGACCTGATAACAGTATTCAATAGTATTGTCGCTCATACCATACTTATATCATACATTGTAATAGTATGTTGTATTCAATATAGTATATTTAACTTTTAAAAACTTGAAACTGCTGAATCTTCCAATTCACTATTATAACTAGCAAGCTGTCTGGATAACCTGTAATATGTTCCAAGATTGGTTCCATGAACAGTTCATTCCTAAATTAAAGTCTTATTTGAAAAAGGAAAAGTTGCCACAAAAGGCGCTTCTTTTTCTGGATAATGCTAGTGTTTATCCCAGTGAGACAGCCCTAAGATCTAATGATAGAAATATGTTTGTTCTTTTTTTTTCAGCCAATGTTACATTAATTGCTAAACCAATGGATCAGAGTGATATTAGTTCAGGCAATGAAAGGCTTTTACTGAAGAGAATTTATGATGAACTTGTTGGATGAAGTTAATCTGGTGAAGTTCTGAAACAGTAAACCACAAGCATCAAGAAAATGAGAAATTTTTAGAATATGCAATGACATTTGACAGCAAGACAACAAGGTACATAATTCATGCTGAACAATAAATATCTTTTTTTAATGATACATGAAAATTGAGCTTCAAAATTTGGTTTTATACGATTTTTTCATGATTGCATGTAAAAACATGTGCATTTATTAGTGAATTTTTAAAACCTACTCTGTGTTATAAAGAGTTGTGAATAACTCTCCAGTCTGTACAAGAGCAAATTTTTGTTTATCATTTATTTATGAGACTTTAAAGGGGTACAATGTACTTTTTCATTCAGATTATTGCAAAGCTTAATGTACTATCAAATATAGCCATAAAATTACATTAGATAAGCTTTAACAAGATTGTTATTGTATAACTAGTGCTTAAAGTTGAAAAATTGTATTTTATAAAAATAGTCATATTTTGTGTAAAAATGTTGCATCATGGTTTTAATGTATTAAATAGAAACTCTTTCAATGCCGAAAAAGAAGGAGATTTTGTGAAACCTGATAGGTCCATTTTTGCTAAGATACGATAATTTGTTCATCCCCAGAAAAAAAATTTTTATAGATTTATTTATTAATAACTTTTTGAAAAAAAAATCAGAGTGAGCTAATCCCAGGGGCATTCTCTTCTCAAAGACTTATATTTACTTATATCACTATAATGTAAAACAAATAATATATAAACTATATTCCTTAAATTTTCAGTGACATTGTGCATTTTCCTTCATTCCTCTTTGATGTGAATATTGAGGATTAGAACAGATAAGATTTTACAATCTTACAATTAAAATTTCCCTAATGAAACTAACAAAATATTTACTGTGAGATACCATTTTTGTTGTGCATTTATGAAAATCATTATCATGAGTTAACAAATACCCCCATCTCAACCCACAGATGGCATAATTTCATTTAGAGCAAAATGTAACAAAATTGTCATTTTTCTACATAATCCTGTATGAAATTTTATTTAAAAAACACTCACATGTGCATAAAGTATCTTTTAAACCAAGCATTTTACCCAATAATTTCTTGCAATAATAAATATATAACATCACTTACATACCATCTATTTTCAGCTGGTAAAAAGGAAATTTTAGAATTTCTACATACAACAAAAACTGTGTACTACTTGCCTTTACCAACTTCAGCTACCGGAGTACTTGCTCTAGAATCACTATCTTTTGATGCTTCACTTTTGGCAACGGCATTCTTCTTAGTAACCTTTTTCTTGCCTTGTTGTGCCGAGTGTGCTTTCTGAACTTCTTTCTGCCTAGCTACATTGGCTTCGTTATATTTTAATACTCTGCTTTCAGGAACCCATTCATCCCAACTAAAATTTATTTATTAATAAAAAAACAATTTTTTAGGAACAACGTGTTTACTTTTTGTTCCAGCCGGCGTAATGTATGAAATATTTGACTTGTTTTTCTTTGGTAATGGTTGATTTTAAACATTTCGCTTCATAAATTAATGGGCCGTGAAAACATAATACTTTTTCTCCCTCGGAGAATTTTAATTTCGGAGGCATAGTTGAGGAAGACGTTATGTACAGATTTTAGAACTTGGAAAAGAAACACTTTTTAGGTTTTACACCTAAAACAAACCGCGAAGTGAATTTGATGGTGGTCACAAACAGTCAACAACAAAATAATTTTTTGTTTTCTGTCGGTAACGTCACTGTCAAATGTCAAAATGTTTCTTTGGGTTTTACAGCTTAGCCAATCTACATCTACAAATAATATTTTTGATGATTGGAATTTTATACAATGGTAAAAATTCACAATAAAAACATATTTGGTATATAAAGTTATTTGATATATCTCTTCTTGTAGCAAGTGCAAAAACTTTATGAATTTAAATTTTCCTTATAGAAAAATAGTCCTATATAATATAAAAATATTTTGTCTAAATATTCCTAACCAAAATTTTATTTTTCGACGATTTTGCTAAATAAAATGTTTTTTAATTGTATGTCTGCATTAGCCCTCTCCATAATTTCATAATAATATTCGGCTAGTATATCCGCATCTCCTTCTGTTAGTTCTTGATAACATTAGAATTGAAATTTAACACAGAATTTATTTATTTTCAAAATTTTTAAGACCGTGGGGATTTTCAACTATTGACGTTAATACATTGATTTCGTTTTGATTTTCTAAATTTCTTTTTACCTCAGCAATATTGTCTGTACAGGTACAATTAGAAACCCGGTTCACAGAATAATAAACATACAGAATACCCACTCTCCACGGAAAATTAAGTACGCGCATCTACTCCGCGCAGACGTTCCGCCATGTTTTAGGAGGATTTTAAAGAAATTATGTGGTGTGCATGGAAAAATTAACCAGGTTTATTTGACTTACGGCAATCATAGACATACTATACAATTATATTAACATTGTTAAATATAATAACATAAATATAATATAATTAAACATAAATATAAACAATTACATAACCACACAAATCATATGTCTGTGTCCTCCTCAAACATGGCGCGCGTGCTGAAAAACTTCAAAGGCGGCATCTGAGAGTGTCCCTTCTGATTGTTTATTATTCTGTGCCCGGGTCCCAGTATGTTCTATTTTTTTTTAAATCATTTGATTTGTTGAATGAATAGCAACTGTATTGTTGTTTAAACAATAGATAACAAAAAATATTAACAATTAAAATATTATTATTTAACATCATTGTTACCAGATGCAACCCGTTATGCGCATAATTGCACTACGTGTGGCCTAAGTTTTACAACAATTCTCTGGAAAATGTATTTTTATTTTCAAAATTTTGCAATATGTTTAATTCGTACAACAATTTTAACATTTTTGTTTTCCATACAGTTCAATACAAATAGTTTTTTTTATAACTTTGGATATAAAATAATTATAAGCAGGAATTCATTAGTTTAGAATTTCTCATTGAGTTTACTATGGCCCGTTTGACGATTCACCACCCGGTATATTAGTTTTAATACGACTCTTGGGAAGCTAGCGACTAATTTGTTATTATATTTTTTATAGACAGAGACACGTTATTTTTATTGGGATTGAAAATTTAATGTTTAAAATGATTTTATATTAACATTGATCTTCTTAATAACTATATCATTTTTAAAGCTATATTATAAAGGATTTGAAATAAATTTTTTGTGATATATTATAGTATACAGCATAGAGAAATACAGCATAGAGAAATAAAAATAAGGTATACAGCCAGCTACAGGAACTTAGTTTCCTAGTGGATTTTTATATCATTTTATTTATTCGAAATTTTTTGAACAAAGCAATATATTTCATCATCCATTGTTCACCACTTGTAACTTTGTTATCCTTGTAACTTTTAAGTTATATTTTGTTTTTATTTCCAAAACCTTAAAAATAAATAGTCATCTTCGCCTATGAATGTACGAGCCTATTCTGTGGTACGGGCATATTCAAAATTATTATGTTGCTAAAATTATTATGACGCTGAAACTAGTTTTATCAAATATTTAACCATATTTGATCAAATATTAGATTCCGGTAATATTCCGAGTCCGGTTTGATTCTTTATCTATGCATTTGACCGTCTGACACGGACACACGGACTTTAACAATTTCATACCATTGACAAATGACGTTTGTAGTGATTTTTGATGTTTGTTGGTGAAACTGATAATAAATAAAAACCCTAAGTCACTCCTCTGGGTGATCTCATAAAATTACTAAAAACTATATTTTTCTTGATTTGAGTGACATTCTCATCGTTTTTGTTGGTGTTGTCTGTAAATTCTTAATTACAGTTAATTAAAATAACTCATTTACTGAGTGAATGATCTTAATTACTTCAAGTTCAGTGTGTTGTTTTTATTTTTATTATGCTTTGACAGCGGCTAAAGAATATCCAGAAGAAAGTTTTTAGATACTCAACAAGTCTGCCACCCAGGAGAAATTTGTTTGTACATAAGACCAAAATGACTGAATACAAGCTAGTAGTAGTAGGTGCTGGTGGTGTGGGCAAATCAGCTTTAACCATACAGTTGATACAAAACCATTTCGTAGATGAATATGATCCTACAATAGAAGATTCTTACAGAAAACAAGTAGTGATAGACGGAGACACTTGTCTTTTGGATATTTTAGACACGGCTGGCCAAGAAGAGTATAGTGCGATGAGAGACCAGTACATGAGAACTGGTGAAGGTTTCCTTTTAGTTTTTGCAGTTAATTCTGCAAAGAGTTTCGAAGACATAGGGACATATCGAGAGCAGATCAAACGAGTGAAAGATGCAGAGGAAGTTCCAATGGTACTTGTTGGAAATAAATGTGACTTATCTGCTTGGGCAGTAGATATGAGCCAAGCAAGAGAGGTTTGTTTCTATTTAAATTCTTACATATAAAAATTTATTAGACAATTCTCAAATTTAAATATATTCTCCAGTATTGTTTTCGTCATTTATGTCATGCTCATCTGAACATCTAAAAACTCAGTACCTGTAGTTTCTTGTTAAAGTAGTAGTTTCTCATCTAAAGTTTTATAAGTGAAAACCTAATGTACTTTCTGTAAATTTTATTTCTCAACATTCTCTGTTTAATGATATCTGGTCATATGTTATTCACAATCTTTTCATGTGTTATTTTCATGTTTTATTCACAATTATTGCTGTTTAAGAGTACTATGGAGAACTGTAACAATCTCCTGTGTGTTTTATTCCATAATTTTTTCTTAAATGTTATATTTATTGATGAAAAATTATATCCTATGTGATTCATCAATTTGTATAGTATTGTGGCTTTTATTATGCTCTATATTACTTCCTTTCTTTAAAGGATATATATTTGAGACAACATGTATTATTATTATCCTATTAATCACTACTTACATTAGATAGGTTCTTCCAACCCAAAAAAGTAGAATATGTTTACAAGTTATTTTTTGGTAGAGGTTATGGACTCTTAAAGTAAGATCGAAGTAAAACAAAATTTCTAGTTTTACTAGAAATCGTACAGGAAACATCCCCAATTCAATCCACTATGTACTTCATAATACACCCTTTACCAACTGGTTAGTAAAGTCCAAAAAATAAAAAAAAAGAACATAAATAATCTTCTTTGCTCTATTTTGTTTATTAATGATAAATTTTTTAGTGAGTAATGTATGTTTTTTTTGCTGGAAGTAATATGTTTCTGTTCTTCCTCATCTTCTGTGTGATACTCTTTCATTCTTCAATATCAGTGTATAATTTATAGTTTTACATACCATTAATTGGCCTAAAAAGTCCTGTACACTACAGCCCAATTCAACTTTGTTCTATTTCAATAATAAGCTTGTCCAAAGATTTTGATCTACCACTGTTATTTTCCATAAATGTGTTTTTAGGAGGGTTTTGTCTTTTTATTTTACTAGATAGCCTGGGTTCGTCTTTTTATTTTACTAGATGGCCTGGGTTCAATCCCAACACAGTCACCAGAAATTTTTCTATTTCTAATTTAACTGAACCTCTTAAATGCTTTGGGGTGCATAAAGCTGTAGTTATATAAGTAGTACTTTACACTAAAACCTGAGACAGAAAGTTAAGGTATTTTATTATCCACAACTGAATATTTAACAAAGCTATGAAATAATTTTTTTTTTTTTGGAGAAAATCAGTACAATTTTCTGGTGATTCTTTGGCTAACACTCTTATTACTTTAGATTTTGATTATTATTTATATTCATTTTGCTAGCACTTATTGATTGTATTTAGACCAATGAATAATGTTTTTAACCAAAAGACACCTGGTTCTACCAATTTTGATTAATGATTTTGATAGAAGGCACCCTAAAATATTCCTATTACTCTATTTTTTTTTTAATTTGCGTGGATGCAGAAATTTGTACCATTACCCCAGACATAACTAGAGGATGACTTTTCATTTATTTTTGTTCAAATTTTTGTCTACATTGTATCTTTGGTGTATTTTCTGATTTTAACTATTTCTTAAATGTCAATATCAATTTAATACGAATGATTTGAGTTTAAAAAAGTTTTATTTAAAAATCCTTTAAAAAATGTATATGATTAAAAGAACCTTTCGGGCTACATCACAAAAAATTTTCAGACTAACAAGTCCATCATCAGTGTATTTACCTAGAATAACTATTACCACTTTGGTGAATACAAACATAAAGATTCAATGTTGACTAAGGTTAAAAAGCAATGTGATTAAATACTTACCATGAGTGCATGAGTCAAGACAGTACCAGGTGTACATGAGTTTACTTTAAAACCAGGCAGTAGAGAGAACAGTTCCCAGATACAATTTTCTATAACAAAACACAGAACCTGCTAGATCAGTTAAATGTCTTGGTTTTCATATTGACCAGATCCTAAATTAGGAGGAACAAATACAAAATATGACAAAATAAACTGAATAGAGCCTGCTACTTATTAAGGGTATTGAAGAGCTATCTAAACCAGGGGAGTTTACTATCAGTATATTATGCAAACTTTTATTCTATTATGCTATATGTACTAATCTTCTAAGGTGCTGCAGTGGATAGCTTAACTGTCTTTATAGTTCAAAAAAAGGCAATCCAGGTGATTTAGGGCTAAAGGTTGGAGAATATTGTAAAGGCTGATTCAAATCACTCAATATACTTACTTTCTCAGCCATCTATATATTTGAATGTATTATGTTCCTCTTTAAAAATTTTACTTTATTTTATCACCTACCAAATCATGAATATAATACAAGAAGCCTTAATTTGAATTTTTTACTTCCCATTATCTCTGGGACAACAGATAGAAGTCCTTTGTATATGTGCATTAAATTTTACAATAGTCTACCATCTAACATTCAACAGGAAACACACTATAGAGCTTTTAAAAGAAAGGTTTTTTAACACCTAGTTAATATTAAGCCCTATACTACCCTGTTAAGAAAGAACCCTGTATCTCCACTATAGCAAGTTTTGAGAAAAATGCGATTAAAGATTTTTGTCTAATTCCTTGTGCTTTTGATACAATAATAACATAAAATCATTTACAATTTCAAAAAAAAAACAATTGTAAAATTACCATATGGACATAAGTAATGCGACATACCGGCTAACAAAGCAAAGAATTATGTCAAGTTTACTTAGCTAAAGCCACATATAATTTTTCTTAAGCTTGGGTTTAACTATGTAATTATTATAAAATTTATATAACTTCCTGGAGAGGCAAAACACTTAAATATGTTAATAATATTTTTTATGAACATTTATTGAATAAAACAAGTATTAATGAAAAACGTTTATTTAAAAATACAAAATAAAAATTATTATTTATCAGAAGTTGGCAATTCTTCCCAAAATTGATGGAGGTTCGCTGGTATAATTTGACCTAAATTTTTTAATATTTGTTCTTTTCTCTTCTTAGCAATCCCAGAAGGTTTTGTCACAGGTGTGGGGTCCTTTATTCCAGATTTTAACACTCTAGCCTGCAAAAAGTCCATCTCAATCAACTCCTCGCTATCGTCAATCTCAACGTATAAAATATTGCTCTCTCTCTTCACAATTACTTTAACTAACAATGTGTGACGGAAACCCCCATTTGTCTCATCACCACACGATTCAAATTACACGTTTTAACGACCTCGACGAAGTCATGATAATCACAAACTTTTTTTTTTTTTTTTTTTCTTTAACGATAGTTCCACTTGGTGGTGGAAACTATCGGCGGACATAAATGTATGGCCCGGTTCAAAATAATTTATAGTTATATCCTGAGCTACAATTTTTGTTCTACGAGGAACAATTATCTACCCAGAATACAAAATGCTTTGCATCTCGATAGTGCAACAGAAATGAATAAAAAGTACTAATAACCGCTTCCTTACTTCTACCTGATGTTACTTCATGCCATAATGCTGCAAAAGGCTTATTTTTCCCAATGTTCCCAATGGTACAAAACTTTCGCTAAACACCACTATTCTTTGGGTAAATAAAACCTTTTTAAACATATCAATGTGAGGAAGCATTATTACTTTTTCCAGATCTGCTGAAACTCTTACCATATTTGGTTCAGGAACTGCTTCACAATCTTGTCTATATAATTCTCTAGACTGGTTTGCTCTTTTCTTGTTAATGTGTATTTCTTATTTCTGGCATACTTCACAATTTTTGTCTAAAGTTGTATCAATTTTATGTGAGTTGTCATGTAATTGAAATCCTTCACAAAGCTCACATTCCTCGTGCCCAATTTTGTAAATGAGATGTTGTTACTTTTAATTACTTTTCTATAAACTTCGTATGAACATTTCTTATCAGGATGAGTTTCTAGGAAGTTTTTGTACATTGCATTAATGCTTAGATCACTTGGCAAGTATCGGCAATTTGGAGCATGTTCCCTTCTGTAATGTGAAATTACTGGGTTAAATAACTCTATGTGTTCTTCTATAACATTTTCACAAATTTTAAACTTAGGTGCATGCCTACCACGTTTATCAGGAAGAGGGGCGATTTCTCGTTTTTTAAAAACATCTTTTTGTACAAAATTTTGGATCGTCCAATCATTTTTTTTTATACCCAAAAGTCATTTGAAAAAATATCTTACACACATTTTGTGTTTAACCATCTGAGTTCTTTAAAAAGTACTTAAAGCTGTGCTGTTTTGTTGAAGATCCTGATCTTCATTTTTTTACTGGAGCCCTGTTGATACAATTAAGAACATATGTTTTCTTCCCCATCCAATTTAGATCCAAATACATTTTATTTATTGCTATTCATCTTGATCGATCTTCTCAGAGCATTTTGTATTACATTTGCTGGCGTTACATGGGATTTGAACCTTATGTTTTTCTTTTATTTCCAAACATTTTATCTTTTTTCTTTCATCTAACGATAGGTCAAAATTCTTTCTTTCTCTAATTTTTCCCTTTTTTGTTAAACTTCGTGGCTGATTTTCTACACCATTTGGTGTTTTTTGACTAGTTTCGATAGTGTTGTTTGTTGTTAATTGATTTACTTCTTGTGGACCTAGAAATGTATAACCGTTTTATATAGAATTTAAGTAATGTCTTGCAGACTTATCATTACTTGCAATGGGCTGGTGTGTTGTTATTAAAATATTATCGTTAATTGTAATACTAGTAGGTTTATCTAATATGTTTTCATTATCATTTATGCCAAGATCTATATCATTGGTAAACATGATTAATTCCACATTATCATTTTCAGTAGTACTTGGCTGAATACAAAAACCAACAATGTTAGGGGATATTTTAATAAAACATCCGTCAGTGTTATTTTGTTCAACCCTGTCTATTTCTTCTGTGGAAAAGTTAAAGGTTAAGGTAATGATTCCAGAACACTTAGCTGAGTATCATCTTCTGTGTAAATATAGGA